TGGCTGAATCGATTCGGGACAGTAACTCAAAATACTGACTCAAATCACTGTCCCCTGTATCGCCTGAATCAGAATCCTAAGTGAATACTAGCTGCTTCGCACAGGCCTACTGGATGCTACTATGTGTAACCTTCTATTAATGTTGGCCTCTATGCTGTGAAGCATCTGAAATGCCAACTATGAGATCTTTCCAAAGGTCTGGGCAGGGGTGGCTTTGAAGCTTTACAAGCTAGTGTCATGCATCAGAGGCTGAGTCCCTGGAACAGAAAAAAATATCGGTGTGCTATGGGGAGGGATACTCTGGAAAACTTCTCCCAGTGTGCTGAGCTACAGGGCTGAAAGAGTGCACCACTGATTAACCATCAATCAATACATGAAACAATCTGTGCACTTGTTGGTGAACCAAGGCTAAAAGGCAGTGGTTTCATTTGTCATGGGATTGATTGTGCCACAATGTGTCCTGCAGTCATGGGCAGATCTAGGAATTATAATATGGGGTGCAGGAGGTGCCAGCAGTGCCACAGGAGAGATTACAGAGCAAGCCAAAGCAGATGTTAGGGGAGGCAGGTAAGAGTTCCCTCACTGTTCTTCACACCCCTTTCCCTCACCCCTCTTCCCTTCACCAGCAGGAGTTGCCACTGTTGCTGGCTGACCCAATGGTGCCAGAGCCTGAGGGCTGCTCCTGACCCACTTCAGCTGAGGCCCTTGGTAAGCAGCAGTGTGGGATGCTGCCCCCCTTCCGGCACCTGCTCCTGGACCCTAGGGGAGAGGCAGGGAGCAGAGGCACCAGGTATCCAACTGCTGCTGCTGTTCCAAGGTGATTCCAGGTCAGGGGAAGCCCCAGGACTAGCTCTATCCAGGGGGTATGGGGAGTGGCTGCATGGAGTAATGGGTCCCTTCTCCCTCCCCATACACTGCATTTTCCCCCACTTGCCCAGGGTAGTCATCTGCAGGAACCTCCCCAAGGTTTTCCCTGGTGTCTGGAAGTAGTCATTGAAAATAGGGGGGCAGCTGCCATCCCTAACATTGCGTGGCAGTCCACACAGCTTCTCCCCACAGCCTCCATAAGTCTCTTTTCCTGGACTTCCACTCTGTATTTCCCTGTGGATCTGTTTGCTGGAACCCAATGCCAGTTCATCTCTGCTTTTGGACTTTGCCCTGTGGATGGTCCTTCAAATTTGGGCATCTGGCATGTGATCCCCAGATCCTGACCCT